TATATGTGTATATATATATATATAATTTTTAGTGTCTAATTGTGGATCTTTTGCTTTTAAAGTCTACAGCAACTTGTATACTGTCTGTCCATGGAACCTGGGATCTGCCGTGATTCATGTTGGAACTGCTGTTGATTATGGTCACTTGGCAGATCATCCTGCTACTGTGTAACATATTGCATCTCTTAACCTTGTCTTGTGTAATTAGAGGTCGTTGTGTAGGTATCCACAGTAAATGTCAAATCCAAAATCTCCATTTATTCCTCCAGTTCATCAAAAATCAATTCACTTGGAGACAGGACAGGTGCTGATTCTTTATTAGAATGCTGGAGTTACTGACATTACATTTATTCAGACATTACGTGTCTTGCAGAACGGTCTTCAACTTTTATTTTTAATCTGAATCAAACTATTGTGTGCTGTAGTTTTGGGGACACGTAGGTCATTGAATCTTAAACAGTAAGGCCTCATTCACGCAGCGTACAGTCGGGCCTTACAGATCCGTGCGGCAAGCACGGCCGTATCGGGCCATCACCGGGAAGACAGGTGCTGCGTGTGATTGTATGCAGCAGCCTGTTCTTCTCTATGGGAGGACGCGGCCGTACGATATCATACGCTCACCCGAGCTGCACATCTGTGCGGGTGTCCGTACTCGTAGGCTGACAAGATGCATCCTGTCTGCGTCCGAGCATGGACACCGGCACAGATGTGTGTATGGCCGCGTCCCCCTACAGAGAACAGGCGGCTGCATACCATCACACTCGGCACCTGTCCTTCCCGGGAGCGGCCCGATATGGCTGTGCAAGCCGCACAGGTCTGTGCGGGCCGACTGTACGCTGCGTGAATGAAGCCTAATGGGCAAATGTACCCAAAACCTTAACTTCTCATTTCAGGCATCAACTGCAATTTTCCAACTTGGAGTGGACAGAAGTGTATAATTATCTGTTTTTTTGTTAGCCCTTCAATACAGTTCTATAAAAATTTCATTAATCAGACATGCAAGACCAGTGTATTTTGGGAGGCTTTATGCTGCCATCCTACTCCCATTTTTTGCATTCATTATCCTTTCACATAAATAGACCACTTACGTAAATGGAATGAACCTCAGCGTATTTTGCAACTCCATTGTAGGGAAAATCAGAGGCCGCTGTAATGTCACGCTGCTGGGCAGTTCAACCACTTGTTAGCAGGCTCCTCACATCCGGCACATTGGCTTCAGTGTGTTGGAAATGAGATGACTGGAAGCTAGAGGTTACATTGTCAAGCAGAGTGTGATTTAACACTGTCCATGTCATTTAGGTCTAAGTTATATTTCCATTTATAAATTTGCAGATGAGACATTTAGAAGAATGGTGCTTAATTATCAAGTTGAAAGTTACAAAGGTTGGAAAAATCTAACGCAGAAATACTAATTGTTTAAAACGGGAACTTCATATTTTGTAATTGGCCTCTGAAGCAGAACCCAGGGCAGAATTTTTATTAACCCTTCCAGTGGGACTACCCCCTGCACTGCAAGGGTTAACTGCGCTTCCTTTTTTTTTTATTGTAGGTTAAAAAAAATGTAGTTCTACTCACCTGATCCTCTCAGCCAGCTTGCTCTTTAACGGGTCCCTGGAGCATCTCTCCCCCTCCGCTACAGTGATTTAAGGTCACATTCTATACATTGTGTATAGACATGAGGACACTGAGGAGCGTAGGAGGAGAGAGGCTTCAGTGACTGGAGAAGCAGGCAGCCGGCTCCACGGCTGGGGTGAGGATAACTTTTCTTTTTAGCATCTAAAAACAACTGACAAAAACTCCACTGCAAGAGTTGAGAGCACTTTTTTGCCTGGTGTTCTACACACATTTATTCAGAAATGACTGACTTTGTGCATCCTGAAACCTTGAGTGCATGTTTTAAAGTGTAGCTCAAGTCAAACATTTTGGTTTTGATAACGTGGTGGGAGCACCCTTTTCATGTATTTGTTTGTCCATGAATGGGAGATTCACTGTCACGGAAAGGGAGGGAATAACCAAAGTCTTGTCATGAAAATAGAATAAAATGTGACCTAATTTGTGTCCTTTGGAGGGTAATTAAAAAAAACCCAATGTACATTAGAAGAAAGAAAGAAAGTTCACTCCCACCCTGCATGTTAATTATAGTCCTTGTGCTCTTAATATATTTTTTTACCATGAAACAAACACCTCTTTGACACCTCCGATAGGATTTTGCTGGATCTCGTTTGACGCTTTTTTAATAAATAATGTCAAAATGCTCTTTTAAATCTCCACCAGGAATATATCTGATCCACCAGCCTCAGCCATGACTCCCAGAGGCATGATGGGATTGTTTTTTTTTATCACAGCGGTGTGCCGAGGTTGACTGCCAATGGCTTAAAAGGATTTTATACTGTGCATTTTTTCCCCTTAAAACTGTGAATGATCGTTTGGAGGTGAAGTTACAGAAGAGGTTGCACAAAAATTTGCCGAAGGTAGAATAAAGTCAAAAACTGGTGGATCAGGGTTAAATAAGCACTATTTGATCTAAGAGGAACTCCAGCTATTAACAAAATTAACTCTTGCAGTGACCAACCCTAGCACTGCATGGGCCAACTGCTCATTTTGGACTAAGGGCTGGAATACATAAGATTTACTTGCCTGATCCTCGGTCCTGCGGCAATCATCGTTCACCTCTTTCCCCCTCAAATTCAGCTGTGGTATGTCCCTTGACATCCTCACGTCTGATGCAAATAATTGGATCTGCATTAGATGTGATGACATCAGCGGGGCATAGACAGACTGAGCACAAGAGAGAAGAGGCTGAAGTGACCGGTGTAGCAGCCAAGTGGGATCGAGGATCAGGTGAGTAGATCTTCTTTAATCCCGTCCTTAGCCCAAAACGAGCTGTTAACCCATGCAGTATGGGAGTAGCGCCACTGCAAGGGTTAATTTTAATTCCTGAAGTTTCTCTTCAACTACTTTATAC